AAAAAAAATTAGAAGCAAATGCATAACTGTCAGAATTTGATTCTGTATCCAGGTTTCTGATTTACTTTCCATTGTGGTCCACCATTAGATGTGATGCAAGCTCTGTTGTCCATCCGAGGTGTGATGTACAGTACGGGAGCCAAATCATGTGATTATAAGTTTAACATACATATCACTGCAATGACACAAAGTCACAATCACTCACACATGCCTTCAAAATATATTCATAGGTATGTTTTCATTTGTGTATAATCACCTGAAAATAAGAATCGTTTTTGTTACCTTAGAATGAGCCATTTTTATCTACAGACGCCTCGTGTCCTCTGCTACCGAGGCCGCCACGTGGCCGAATGTGGAATTGGAAGCGAGCAGGTTGTAATCTGCAACTACACCACTAGATGCCACTAAATCCTACACACTGGACCTTGAACTAAAAGATGTGAATACTTCTTCCATCACGGCAACTATGTATTTGTTGTATGTAAAGTAGACCTCAAATAAAGTAGATGAAGTAGTAGTAATAAATCCAAGATATAGACATCAAAATATGTTAAAGGCTACCAAATGAAAAATAACCATAATATCCTAACCCTAACCCTTGTATATGATAAGTGATATATGAAAAATAAAATATGAACACTTAAGATAGAGGGCCTCAAGCAAAGTCACTGGAGCCATCCTCTAGTGGACATTAGAGAAACTGCAGCTTAATGAGCATCCTAAGCTAAGACTAACATCACTTTGACACAAAGACAGTTTTGTTGAAAATGGTAATGTAAGTACATACTGTTTATAATAATAGTACAAATTATCCCTTTATCTATCAGCTTAAGAGTGCAAATGAGTGCAAACCATCTCTAACTGAAGCCCTGGATTTGAAGGAAGCTACCATATGTGCTGTATTTGTAGTTTCCACAAACATGATTTGCAACAGAAAATCATTGATTCTTTAAACTGGCAGGGAGCGGGGACGTAAAACAAACAGAAAATGTAGAGTAGTGGTAGACTGAGACTGAGAAAAAGACCAACACAGTGCAGTTGCAGACTGATGGAAACAGAAACAGAGGTGGCTCTCAGTGCTTCCTGCTTTCTGTGTTTTTCTGATCCCTCTAAAAATGAAAATAGCAACAGGAAACCGTTATTAAGCCACTCTCTTTTTCTCTCTCTTCCCCTTTCTTTCCTTTTCTCTCCCCTATCATCACACCCCTCCCGCTTAGCTTTCATTTCTCTTTTGACAGTCGTCTTCCCTTCTTTCACTTCCCAAATTTTCCTAACTGTGAGTAATAAATACTGTACAATAATGTAATGCCCGTGTGTGTGTTAGTGTTCACGTGCATGTGCTCCAGTGCTTCAGCCTGCACATGTGTAGCAGCGCAGTAAAAGTCTATGTTCCCTCTGCTGCCAAACCACTTACAGCTCATAACAGATGTAAAATACACAGAGCGGTGTCACGTCATAAAGGTCCATGAAATTAAAGCTTATGTGGGTTTTGCTGCAGCCCATAGCTACAGCAAGAAGATGTTAAGAGAAGGGTAAACCAAAGTTTATTTTAAGATCAGCTGTATCGATCAATGTGGGGAAATAAGGTACCTCTGTATTTACTACTACACTCCTGGACTTGGTTGCACCAGCTATGTGTAAGTTCTCTCCTAAATTACGATGTAAAGTCGACACTGGATGACTCTGGGCATAATTTAACTAGTTTGGACGTAATTCATAACTAAGACAAGTGGCCAATCAACGATCAAAGATATTGTTCCATCACTGTGCACATTAGCTTTCTAGCTGGCATGACCCACTTCATAGCACATCGTCGCAAACTAGACCGATATTGAAGTATCATATCAATAAATGAGGTCTTTACTGGATTAATGTGTCACAAAATGGCTGCAATTAATGAAGAAATATTCTCAGTGAGAATAATTCTGTGACATTTTATGATTTATACCACCTTAGGGCCATGTGCAACTATTTAGTGGTGACTTATTTTTGTGATGCAACCGCTTTTATTTTAGTAATGCAAAGTAGTTTGGACTGACACACAGCTGGTGCAACAGGCTGC